CCAGTCATGAAACTATACAGCATTGGCCTTTTTTTTACTGTATCTGCTACTGGCAGCAACATTGTGGGCTTCAGTGTCTACCTGTATAATATCAGCCATTGAAATAATAATAGCCATTTAGGTACAACATTCATGAGGAAACACAGGACTCTGCACCACAGAGCTCAGTGCTTGCTGCTGTCTCAGGGCTAGCCAGATTTTTTGCCTACTGTCTCCATCTGGATTGTTGAGGACAGGGTTGTCCTTGGTGACATGGAGGACTTGGGGTGCTCCGCTGCAGGCAATCTGTGGAAAATGGGTCAGATGCTTGTGCAAGGATCCCAGGATTCAGGTAATCAAAGCAAGAGACCACAATTGAGTGTCCATCCTGTTAGATTCCAGATACAAGGGAAATAGCTAATCTACTGCATGCCTGCATCCTACACAGGAGTAGCCTATAATGTGGCACTTTGAAGAGTTGCTGCATAAGAATCACATTCCTAGATGGTGGTAAGATCCAACAGAACATTGGCTCAATATGACCCTCTTGCCTCTGATTCCTCAAAGGAGGAGCAGAGGTGGCAACTGCATAAGCATTTGAGAGTGTTTTTGAAGCTACTTCAGCCACAGACAGCTGCAAGGAGCACTCACAGGCAGCTTCCAGATTGCTGACTACATTGGGTCCAGGGTTGATGCAGACACTCGCAGAAGTTATCACTCATACACTGCTTGATGTCCAGGCTGGACTACTGGCAAGAACCTTCACAGTATGTACTGGGGCTTCTGGCTTGCCCTACAGCCAGTATGCTGTATAAGAAGGCCTTCAGGACAGAAGGAAGTGAAAGGTGAACCAACCTGTCCCCTGACAGTGTGGATCAGCTTACTTTTAATAAAATAAACCAATCTTGAATTACCAGTGACTAAAAACACTTGCTGTTGATGCTACAGACTAAACCATTAATTGTCATAAGGTCCCAACAAAAGTAAATAAAGACACTTGCCACCATTAACATCTCCTGCTAACTCTGCTGGCCTATTCCTGTGCTTCATAAATTAGGTAGATGGTGGTGGAACCTAAAGATAGAAGTGGGTCATAGTTTTTTGTTCAAATTCTTGTCACCATTATTACTTTTTAATATATTTATAAATGATATAGGGTGTGGAATTAAAAATCTCATTTCAGTCTTTGCAGATGACACCAAGCTGTGCAGTGGCGTAACGTCCTTACGGGATGTCTTCAACTTACAAACCGACCTCAATGCACTGTTTAATTGGGAAACTGTGGCAAATGAGGTTAATGTTGATAAATGTAAGGTTATGCACTTGGGGGCTAAGAATATGCATGCATCATACATACTGGGGAGGGGGTACAACTGGGGGAATCTATAGTGGAGAAAGATCTGGGAGTTCTGGTAGATCATAAGCTTAATAATGGCATGCAATGCCAAGCTGCGGTTTCTAAAGCGAGCACAATTCTCTGTTATATTAAAAGAGGTATACACTCCAGAGAGAGATATCATATTACTCCTGTACAAATCGTTCGTAAGACCGCATCTGGAATATGCAGTTTAGTTTTGGGCACCAATTCACAAAAAGAACATTGGGGAACTGGAGAAAGTACAGAGAAGGGAAACCAAACTGATACAAGGCATGGAGGAGATCAGCTATGAGGAAAGATTAGAGGAACTGAATTTATTCTCTCTTGAGGAGATTAAGGGGGGATATGATCAACATGTATAAATAAATCAGTGGTTCATATAGTGAACTCGGTGTAGAGCTATTCACCCTGAGGTCATGACAGAGGACAAGGTGGCACTCTTTACATCTGGAGGAAAAGAAATTTAATCTCCAAACACGAAAAGGTTTCTTCACAGTGAGAGTTGTGAAAATGCGGAATAGACTCCCTCAAAAGTTGGTTCTCGCCAGCTCAGTGGATTGCTTCAAAAAAGGCCTGGATTGTTTTTTAGATACACAGAATATAACTGAATACTAACATTTATAGGTAAAGTTGATCCAGGGAATATCCAATTGCCTCTTGGGGGATCAGGAAGGAATTTTTTTCCCAGCAGGAGCAAATTGGATCATGCTTTGCTGGGTGTTTTGCCTTCTTCTGGATCAACTGTGGGTAAAGGATTATAACTTTTTTTTTTCTTTATGGTTAAACTGGATAGACTTGATAGCATGATCCCTGAGAAGCATCTGATTAGTAGGTAGGCCACTTCCACAAATTGAGATGTCACCATCGTAATCCTGGGTTGTGTAGACAAAACTCTGATCCAGAGTTCCAGGTGTTACACCATAAGCTTACTGTATATTCAGAAAGAAGTTTATTTATTGTGTGTAGTCACAAATGCCCTCTTCATTAAGGTTTAAAAAAATGTAGGGTTTATAATCTAGATATCCAGCAGCATCTGGTGATTTAGTTGGTGTGTGTGCACAGTTCTGTTCAGCCTCTGTTTTTTCTCAAACCAGGACATCACTGTGATGCAGTGTGCACATACACACTAGTTAAATCACAAGATACCCCTGAATTTCCAAATTGTCAACCCTACATTTTTAAGCCCCAATGAAAGAAGTGATTTTGGGCCCTTGATGTTGGCTACTACAATCAATAAACTTCTCTCTAGATATAACCCTATGGTGTGGAGCTTCAATCTCCTGATCAGAGTTTTATTCATGTGCCTCAGAGCTGTAAAGTTGTCCACCATGTTTCCACAGCTGAACTTCAACTACCAAATTTCCAATGTTTACTGCAGGGTAAATTCTGTAATGCAATCTATTCTGGTGCGCTGACACTCAAAAATTATTTGTGACTTTTGTTTCTCAGATAATAGACCCTAAAAGTTTATTTCAAGATAAAATCCTCCTGGTCTCTCTTTCTTATATGGTGGCCTTGCCAAGCTGCTTACATACTGCCCAGACACTAAACATTGACTGTGGCTATTACCTCTCACATATGTATCTAATGTTTGTTTCAAGATAAAACCTGCCTCATCTCTCCCTTTGATATTGTAGCCGTACAAATCTTCTTACATACTGTCCTATCACTGAACAATGTTTTATAGCTTTTTTCTCTCAGATTATACACTTTCATTTTATTGCAAGAAAAAAACTGTCATTTGCCCTTCTATTTGCTGCCTGTTCAAGAGTCCTGACCTTATTCACAGTTTACCAAACACATACCTGAAATTTATGTTTTGAATATTGTAGAAATAATTAAGAATACAGGAAATATGGGGTTGTGGTTTTGAATTGTTTTTGTGCACTCTGTTTTGATATTTTATTAAACGTCTAAAACAATAGTGAGTGGTACTGTGGAAGAGAGACACACAAAATATACTACCGGCCAATTTGCACTTTATTTTTTTATAATGCTAAAGTTTCCCAAAGCTTTTAGACCAGTTGTGGCTGCTACTTTCACCACTTAGTTTAGGCACATTACCACACGACAAAAAACAAAACAAATGCTGCAGCCAAAAACTACCTAATATTTTTTTCAAGTTGAAATGAATCAGATTGAGGTGCAGCTGCTGTATTTAGGCCAAGATAAATGTAAAAGTTAAAAAACATGTTACATATATAAAATATATGATGCGATAATACAATGACCCTGACACTATCCGTGAAAATAGTACTATCCTGTAACACATCTGTTAGAAACATTATATTAGGCATGAGAAGCGCATGCACATAAACCTGTATTTTTTCAAGCAGAAGGGCCTAATTAAACAGAAAACAATTCACAGGAGTATGCACATATGAACACATGCACCACTGTGCGCACATAAGTGCATGGGCACATCTACCACAGGTGCTGGTGTCGAGTGGGCTATTTAAACCCGGGCCCCGTGGGAGATCTTTGCTGAAAAGTATTTCAGCTTGAATTCCTGTTATTTCTTATCCTGAACCTGTTTGACCCTGTTTCTGGATTATTGTTGCCTGTTTGTTTGGTGCCTATCTTTGTTACAGGCCCCATCCTGGACTTTCGACAAGATATTGCCTATCAATTCTATACCTTCTTGATCCAGCTCAGAATTTGGTGATTTACTGTTCTACTGGACTTGCTATATTCCTTATTCTGGGTGCCCTCTTTACTGTGCTTCCAGCGCTCTCAAGGTCAAGTCTTCAATTGCAGCATCCTGGGGCTTACGCATTTCTATTGCCATTGCAGTGCCTGTTCCAACATTCAGTGGTGCCCAAATGGGAAATGTGCAAGAGGCTACCCTCATCATCTCTGGCTCCTCATCCAGGTATATGACTCAGATTCCAATAAAAATGTAATGTCCATGGCAGTGCCTAGCTCCCCATCGCTTTTGAAAATAGTGTACCTATTAGCTCTGGGTATGTGATAACATTAGTAATTTGTCACTTAGGTAACAGGTAGGTAGGTGGGTCTACCATTAAAGTTACAGGTTATGTTGTCTGCTTTTCCCCACTGTCTATGAAGTGGAACATTTCTCTGAGTTTCATATAAAACACATTCTTATACATAAATGGGCACAGATGGAGTGATATCACTGTACATAACCAGCAGAGAGAATTTAAGCATATACAGTTTCTTCCTGATTCATCAATAAACATGTAAGCAAACATAGCATCTTTCACATTTTTAGGTTCAAGTGTTTACATTAAATGTTCCTGGAAAACCAACCCATTAAATCATTCAAGAAATTAGATATAAAATTACCCACAAACACAATATATGACACTATTAACATGAAATCTATGAAAACTCAGTCTCTGGGAGTGTTATAATCTATGCAATTAGGTCCCTGAGTTTAATTGTTTTTTTATGGAGCAATGTCTATTTAGAATCCTTGATTGTTTTCCTTGACCCTGTTGGACTGAGTTTGAGAAGTTAGAGTTTGAATGATTGTACACCATTTAGAAGTATGATAAGATATGGTGATCTGCACATATATTGGATTTAAGCAGCAGATATGATCCACTTCACATTATAAGCAGCACATTTTACTCCACAAGGTGATGCTCACTTGACTTTAAATAAGCACTAAAAGCCACTAGTTAAAAGAGAATCTTCGCTGAAATGTAATTTTCTCTGATAGGACAATGGGAACATCAGCCAGTGTAGAACAGGTATTGAGCCTAGAGTTCTTGCTTGACATGGTGCTAGCTCTCTTCTTATGATGGTTAAAGTAATTTCTAATGTGAAAACGGAATTTGTCATGCAGTGAGGCATAGATGAAGGGGTTGTAGCATGCAGAACTCATGGCAATAAGATGGCAGGTCACCTGTATGACATTGATGTAGACTTTATCTAGGATGGTAAACTCTTCATCAACATCCCGGATGAGGTTGACTACCTGTAGAGGCAGCCAGCATATGGCAAAAGCCATGACTGAAATGATGAGCATTCGGAAGGTCTTCTGTTTTTTTTTAGTCCATTTATCTTGGTTGTGGCTTGCAGCCCCTGGAACATTCCTCCTCCTGAGATGATAGGCAATAGCGCAGTAAGAGACAGTGACAGCAGATAGTGGAAGCATATATGTCAGCAGCAGCATTGTACATGAATAAAGGAGCCTCTGTTTTTCTTGGTGTTTCCAGATTTCCTCACAAATGATCATGTCATGGCCAACATCTTTTAGGTCAAGATAATGAGTATGCATAGATGTTGGTAAGGAAATTCCAATAGAGATCATCCAGAGTGCAGTGACAATATAAGCACATGATTTACATCCTATTCTTCTTCGAATAGGGTAGACAACTACAACATAGCGATCTACTGCAATGGCGGTCAGAGATAACACAGACACAAATACAGTTGCAGCTTGCATTAATGTGACAAAGTGGCACATGAATTCCCCAAACAACCATCCATGGAGTTCAAATGCATAGGAGGCAGTCAGTGGGACACAGAAAATACACATGACCAGGTCTGCTGCTGCCAGGTTTCCAATGAGAAAATTTGTGGTGTTGTGAAGCTTTTCAGTGAAAGCAATAAGAAGGATTAAAACGCTGTTGCCTAAGCAAGCCACGGTTACGAGTATGGCATATAGAGGAACGAAGAGGGGCTTTAAATCAAAGAGCAAATCCAGACCAGAGAACACTTGTGATACATTCTTCAAGGACTCATTAAATGATTTGTCTGACATCTCGGTGACTCTTTTCAAAGTGCTGCTGCATTTCTGAAACAAAAAAATTAAAATTATATTGGTACATTTTCCTACTTGGAGATCTAATTTTTCCACTATTGCTCTAGTAGTAAAAACTTTTAATAAAGTTCAATACATAAAAAAGAAACACTTTATGCTATGTAGTTTCAAGGCTTACTTAGTTGACTCTTGTGCATCAAGCTAGGCCTCCTAAAATTCCTCCTGCTTTGGTTCAGAGGAATACAAAAAGAAACCCTGGGGTAACTTCTGCAAACTCTGTCAGAAAAACGTCTTTATGGTATTAATTATAAGAATATTATCCACTTCTTTTTTGCATTATTGAGTTTGTAGTTGCAACATGCAGGCAAGTATTGCACAGTATACTTACTATAATACCAACTCCATCCTACACTGATATTTAAACAGTCTTGTAAATAAAAAAAAAGTGAATCCAAACTTTTTTATTAGACATTTTGGATAGACTGGAGAAGGGTTAGAACCATAATGAAACATATAAGAACAGTCCCCCTGCGCTACCAACCTAACTGCAATGACCCCCAAGTGGCCGCAGACACCTAACTATATTCCAAAATAGTGAAAACAAAAAGAAGTGAATTAGTGCTGCGCTACTCAGTGCATGAACAATATAACACAAATAAATGAATGCACATATGACCCTCATCCAAGTGTGAAAATAACATATGCAAAAAACATGAATAAGTGCATGAATGAGTAATGTGATAAAGTGAATAAGTCCCAAAAAATGATAATAAAAGTCCCAGAAAAAAAACGGGAACATAATGAATCTTCAACAGATGTCGTGAGACATCCAGTGATGAATATATATATATATAAATAATCCTCCACCGGCTAGCGTGCGCGCTCACCTTCAAAATGCAACCCCCAAGAAGTCATAAAGCATAAAGAGACCTCAAACGATGATCCCAAATAGATGGTCCTTGATAGCAATGAAAGAAAAAGGGGAACTCTCTCGATGATGCTGGCAAACACTCACAGGCATGCTCCAGATATGGCCACAGACCTCTATCACCAGATACCGCAGTGCAACACTGTCAACCTAGCCTTAGTCTGTCAACTGTCTCAGAATGGAGGTCATTGTGAACAGGACTTCTTCATCTGATAAGCTCCCCATATATTTAGACTCCTCACCAGCTATGAAACCACAAAGAACATGACCCAGCCTCTGCTCTCCCCGGTGGCCATCATCACCTGTGCTGCCTTTATTAATATTTGTTATTGTCTGCACTTTATTCATGTTTTATGCATATGTTATTTTCACACTTGTATGAGTAGCGCAGCACTAATTCACTTCTTTTAGAACCCTAATGCTCTTCACAGCTCCATTAAAGAAATTCTCTTTCATTTTCTGTGTCATTGAAAATCTGAAACAGGGACACATATAGCAATACAAAGCTGATGGGGGTTCTAGTTTTACTCTTAACTCCTCTTAAAAAAAGCATTTTTATTTCTGCAACTGTCATCACTAGTATAGGGAGTCTGTTTAAGAGATCCCCTGAGAATAGTAAACCCATAGTGTGGGAGGGAGGATTTTTATGCTGGTTTCCCAAAGTGAACATTCCTTGTTTTTCTAACTTTATGATAACTTAATTTATGTGATGCCCAAAAATGGATGCCTTTTCTGCAGATGTGCCTTTACAATGTGATTTCTCCACAGACAATGCTATACTAGTGTCACATATATTGCCTTTATTGGCTTTAGTATAAATTCTATTTTCTTTGCTTCTGTAGCTTCCACTTGGAATTGCAAATTTCTGGCATTATTCCTCTTAACCAGTATATCCAGGTTGTTCTTTAGCTCTGATTAGCCCAACTGTATTTTATTTGGAGTGGGAGACAATGCTACCACGGCAGCCTTGCAGCATAACCTTACATTTTTTAATACAAAAGAACTCTTTGAAAATAAAAATGTATTTTGTATTTCTTTTAAAAAATGGGTTTCTTTCTAAATGCATAAAATATAACTGACTACTGAATTTTCTCTAACTGTACAGAACACAACTTCCTTTTGCTGTGAGGGAGACTGGAGAGCGTATATCACTGTCCATTGTGCACCATCACTGCTGAATGTTGTTGGCCTGAGCAGGATCTAGAGTGTTGAGTTTGGTAGTGCCAGCAGCCAGGGTCACCAGGATGCAGAGCAGAGAGTGGGCTAATTTCTTTTGTATGAACGGATTGGTGAGCTGCTGTTGTGGGAATTTACTGTCTGCTGCTAGAGAGAGAGAGAGAGTCCATTAGGAACTGACCATAAAGCCATCTAGTAGTCTTCTTTCTGCCTGCAGGTTCAGCTGGGACTATTCTCATGTGCACCAACAGTACAGTTGGGCTCCAACACTGAAGAGTTAGGGATGAATATTGCCCCTTTACAGCTCGTACACACAGACCTTTACTTATTGCCTATGCTAAGGCTGGTCCAACATAAAGCAATTTTCTTCCTTTCTACCACAGATTGAAGGAAAGAAAATAGCCCAATTCCCCCATCCACATTCTCTGAGTCTCTCCTGGTGTGCTATTGTACTGAAAGTGGGAAGTTTCCCTACCATCAGAATACAATGATCAATGCTACCAGCTTTAGCAAGTGGCAGTGATCATATGAAAAAAACCCGAGAGGTTGGTTGACTTCAGTACAACCAGCCTGCCAATAAATGGATCGAAATTCATCCAGCTCCTGCTGAACCAGCTGAATTTTAATCTGTCTGTGGCCAGCTTAAATGGCGCCTCTTAGGGGACATTGTACCATACTCTAGCCATCCTCCTAGAGTGCACTCCAGACTAGTTATAATATTATTATTCAAATTGAAGTTAATACTTAAATGCAATGTTTATTGTTGACTTTGTTGATTTATGAGTTAATTCCATTCTAGTGATGCAAAACTATTTTCAAGTTACCTTGGCATAGTATTTATACTATCTAGCTGACTGTCTGAACCTGCCTTATGTATGCTCCTTTATGCTCAAACCACCAATTATTCTAGCCCATAGCAATACATTGAGTTCAATTATCACTAAACAGTCTTGTATCTATTTCCTGATACTAATTCACAGTTGAGTTAAAGGTATCCACACTTGTTCCTATAAGTGCATGCAGTAACTTTCACTCAACCCGGTGTTCCAGAGGGGATGAGGTTATTCTCAGAGTCGAGGCGCAAAACAGAGAACCTAAATTACCATACTGCTCCCTCAGGAGTAGCAATACATTTATAAGGACTAAAATTGCACACAATAAAATTAGGGAATTATTTTTTACCGTGGGGAGTAGATTAGATCATGCTTCATAAGATTTATTTTTGCCTTTCTCTGGATCAGCTGTGGATTTAGGGTTATGAGAATGAAGTGTTTTTCCTTTTTTTTTTTTGTTTTTTTGGTTGAACTCATTAAACATATTTCTTTTTCAATCCAACTAGCTATATATCTAGGTTACCATTTTACTGACTTTAAGGTTATTATTCTTTTATAATATGTCATTGCTGAGTTTTAGTAATTCTAGGAATAGTGCTTCCCATGTCATTCACCATATCATCATTATTGTATTGAAAAGAACTGTGCTTATAACCTTTTACAACTCTCCTTCCTCTTCTGCCTATTAATCAGTTCTTTAACATTCCCCCCTAGACCTTGCATGCTTAGCTTCTGTATCAGGCTATTATGAGGAACGCTATCAAATGCTTAAGCAAATCCAAATATAGGACATTAATATTACTTGCAACAAAGAAATGGACTTTTCACAAAAATTGATCCAGTTAGTTACAAACAACATACCTTTTTACAAATTGATGCTGATTATCTGTTATTAGATTGTTTTCTATAATTTTTTTTATACTGCTTATTTTTATACTACAGTATCTCTGAATACTTAAAAATAATTTAGAAACAAAAGAAGTCTGGTTTAGTGTGGTATATTCTTTCTCTATACGGTTTTATCTTTCTTAATAATGGTACAGCATTAGCAGTTCTAGTTTAACCACTTGACCCCCGGAAGGTTTTACCACCTTCACGACCAGGGCATTTTGTTTGCTATTCAGCACTGCGCTATTTAGACTGGCAATTGCACATGTCATGCAACACTGTACCCAAATGAAATTTTTATTATTTTTTTGACACAAATAGAGATTTCTCTTGGTGGTATGTTATCACCACTGGGTTTTTTATTTTTTAGTACACACTGCTCAAACAAATTAAAAGAACACTTTTTAAACAGAGTATAGCATCTAGTCAAGTACATAGTTACATAGTTACATAGTTAGTCTGGCTGAAAAAAGACAAAGGTCCATCCAGTTCAAACATTAAAAAAAAGTTATAATCCTATACCCACAGTTGATCCAGAGGAAGGCAAAAAAAAAAGAAAAGCATGATCCAATTTTCTCCTGCTGGGAAAAAAATTCCTTCCTGATCCCCCGAGAGGCAATCGGATATTCCCTGGATCAGCTTTACCTATAAATGTTAGTTTCCAGTTATATTTTGTGTATCTAGGAAAGAATCCAGGCCTTATTATAATTAAGCTCCTGGGATATTGATCTGGTCAGTTAGGTAGCAGATGGGTTGTTAATCAGTTTCAACTGCTTTGGTGTTAATGAAATTAACAACAGGTCCACTAGATGGGCAACAATGAGACGCCCCCAAAACAGGAATGGTTTTACAGGTGTAGGCCATTGACTTTTTTTCCCTACTCATCTTTTCTGACTGTTTTTCACTACTTTTGCATATGGCTAGAGTCAGTGTCACTACTGGTAACATGAGGCAATACCTGGACCCTACAGAGGTTGCACAGGCAGTCCAACTCCTCCAGGATGGCAGATCAATATGTGCCATTGCCAGGAGGTTTGTTGTGTCTCCCAGCACAGTCTCAAGAGCATGGAGGAGATTCCAGGAGACAGACAGTTACTCTATGAGAGTTAGACAGGGCCGTAGAAGGTCCTTAACCCATCAGCAGGACTGGTATCTGCTCCTTTGTGCAAGGAAAA